GCTTGTCAGACTAATGCATTTTAAAATTTCAAATAGCATTAAAGAGGGTGAGATTGTTTTGGGGTGGGTGTGTGTGTGTGTGTGTGTGTGTGTGTGTTAATCTAAATGGTACAAAAGTTTTTAAAGCCTGAGAAACTGAGCTAGATCCGTAAGGGTAAACCACATTTTATTCATTTCTGTATTCTCAGCACCCAGCACAGGACCAGGCACAAAGTAAGTGAGAGTAAATGTTTGCTGAATGAATTAATATGCCCACAGTCATGATGCCAACTGCTCTGGAATTAAACATGCTAATTAGAACAGAGCAGGGCCTAAGCACTAAACAAAGCTTCTTCTCTTCCTTTCTTTATCCTTCCTCCTAGCCCACCCCATTCTGTCCTCCCTAGTTAAAAAAGAGCAAAAAAGAGTGAAAGCAAGAGAACAAGAGAGAGAGACAGAGAGAGAAAGAGAAAAAGAGAGACAGAGAGAGAATTGCCTTGGTGCTGGAATACCATTAAAAGGATTAATTTAGGGACCGGTGTTTGGACTGTCACATCCAATCACTACCCACAGATCTACAGCTTCCCAAATCAGGCTCATGCAAAGAAGAATCAATTGCAAGGACACAGAGGGTCTGAACAGGCATACTAATGGCCTCCTGAGGTGCCAGCGGCCAGCTCTGACACTCCCATAAATTATCCTCCTTTTGATTTTACCTGTAGCTGTGGGGCACAAGGCACAATTTTGAACGTATCAAAGCAATCCCTGGTAACCTAAGGCTCCTCAAGGAATGTCCCCAAAGAGGAAAGGCTAAAAACAATGACCCAAAGGGAATCTGCTTTCCAACAGTTCTGGTTCTAGCAATCATTAACTAAAACCCAACAGAACCAAATGGATAAAGTAAGACCCAAACCAAGCTCAGTAGATCTGGACAAGGCATGCCTCAGGCTGCAGTCCTGCAATGACTACGCAGCTCTCACTCAAGGAAAGCGAAGTCACGGCAATAAACTAATACACTTTCATCTGGAGGCAAATCTGCCCTAGCTTTGACAGTACATAGAAGCATGACCTCAGGCAACTCATTTAACCTTCCTGGGCCTCAGTTTCTTCATATGGTATCAAGGACAAGAATGCTGACCACCTGACCCACTTACCAGAGTGCTGGTGAAAAGTAATTTTAAAAAATTTGAGAGGCACTTTACAAAGATGTAAGGCCACAGGGTGGCAACACTAATAAATGACCCCAAACAGACAGGGAGGAATGGCTGGTCACACTTTGGTGAATTTCTATCAGGAAGTTGCTCACTCGATTTGCTTTACTGATGGTGTTGGGACTAAGGTCCACACTGAAAAAAGTTCTGGGATTCTGTTTTTTGTTTTTTGTCTTGAGACAGAGTCTCACTCTGTTGCCCAGGCTGGAGTGCAATGGCTCAATGTGGGCTCACTGCAATCTCCACCTCCCGGGTTCAAGCAATTCCCCTGCCTCAGCCTCCTGAGTAGCTGGGACTACAGGTGTGCACCACCACACCTGGCTAATTTTTCATATTTTTGTAGAAACAGGGTTTCACCATGTTGGCCAGACTGGTCTCAAACTCCTGACCTCAGGTGATCCACCCACCTCAACCTCCCAAAGTGGTAGAATTAGAGGTGTGAGCCACCACACCCTGCCAGTTCTGGGATTCTGAATGGAACACTGGTTGTCCAAAAATTTTCCATTATGAAGAGCGGTGCCTTGCTTTAGTAAATTCCTCCTGTCTGCTGGCTGCCACCACAAGTGGCTACATTTTTATCATATGTTCACAATGACAACCGTAAGGACCCAAAAAATACAAAGCCAAAGGCCAAGTCACCCAACTACTGGCTGCTTTTTAAAACGTATTAATTATATAAAATACTGTTAGTGATAAAAGTTATCAAGACACTGTGTGAAGAGTTTTAAATTATTAAATCCTTCAGCCAACTTGATTAAGTCTCATTATCTCCATTTTACAGATAGCAAGTGAAGCTCAGAGAGGTAAGTCACTTGTCCAAGGTCACTTAACACTGCTATCAGAAACCTATACTGGGACTTATAGGATGAAGATCTCCTGCAAAGGGAAAGCAGGAAGAAAGGGAAAGTGCAGGCATGGGACTCTCACCTATTCAACGGACACTCACCAAATACAGAAATACAGTATTTTATCTGGTCCCTGTCCTTGACATATACCATCATACCTGAACTAGGAGGCATTTCCAAAACCAGGAAGAGGTCATCTGTCTGCTACAAGCAAGGAAAGGAGAGACCAAGTAGGACATATATAGAATGAGGGCAATTCCTTGGAAAGCTTAGGAAAACGGGTCATCCTCTGTGTGTACAGTTCAAGAAGTTCAAATTAATTGGCATTAAGCTGTGAACCCTAAGACCAAGACTCTTTCCAGGGCTCTGTTTATTCCATATCTCCTGCATTAAATATAGTTTCCAAAGCCTTTTAATTTTTTTCTTTTTTTTTTTTGAGAGTCTTGCTCTGTTGCCCAGGTTGGAGTACAGTGGCACAATCTCAGCTCACTGCAACCTCCACCTCCAGGTTCAAGCAATTCTCATGCCTCAGCCTCCCAAGTAGTTGGGATTACAGCCACATGCCACCACATCCAACTAATTTTTGTATTTTTAGTAGAAATGGGATTTTGCCATGTTGGCCAGGCTGGTCTCAAACTCCTGACCTCAAGTGATTCACTGACCTCAGCCTCCCAAAGTGCTGGGATTATGGGTAAGAGCCACTGTGCCCAGCTCTTTCAATTCATTTTATAGCAACTTTCCCTTTCTACATGTTTTCCAGTCTGTAAAATAGGAGTCAGTTTCCCCAACAAATTCTTTGGGAAGAAGTTAGTAAAAAGAAACATTATACTCATATATGCAAAGATTCAGTTATACTCAATTTTTTTATTTATGAGAAAAGCATAGCTATAGATCAGTGTTTGTTGATTTTTGGTTTTTTTTTGTAGAGATGGTTCTTGGTATGTTGACCAGATTGGTCCCAATCTCCTGCCTCAAGCCTCGGCATCCCAAAGTGCTGAGACTATAGGCACGAACTACCGTGCCCAGCCATGTACTCAATTTTTAAGAACCAAAACAAAGCCACGAAAGGGAAAAATAAAATGCTATCCACGTAATTGCCACAGCCTCCTGACTAGTCTCTGCCTCCAGTATTGTCTGTTCCCTTCAATCCATTTTTCACAATGAAATCCGAGCAAACTTTTTCTTTCCTTTTTTTTTTTTTTTTTTTGAGACAGAGTCTCGCTCTGTCACCCAGGCTGGAGTGCAGTAGTACCATCTGAGCTCACTGCAACCTCTGCCTTCTGGGTTCAAATGATTCTCCCACTCAGCGTCCCATGTAGCTGGGATTACAACGTTCACCACCATGCCCAGCTAATTTTTGTATGTTTAGTACAGACAGGGTTTTGCCAAGTTAGCCAGGCTAGTCTCAAACTCCTGACCTCAAGTGATCTGCCCACCTCAGCTTCCCAAAGTGTTGGAATTACAGGCATGAGCCACCATGCCAGCCTGCCAACTTTCTAAAACACAAATCTAATGTCAGTCTACTGCTTAAAACCCTTTAATGGCTGCTTACTGTTCTTAAATCTGACCCAGAGGTCAGCAAACTATGTTCCATGGGCCAAATTTAGCTGCCATCTTTATTTATTTTATAAATAAAGTTTTACAAGAATACATCCATGCTTACTACTTTTCATACTATCTGTGGCTACTTTCACGCATAACTGCAGAGTTGAGAAGTTGTGACAGAAACCCAAACCTAAATATTTACTACCTTATCCCTTACAGAAAAAGTTTGCAGAGCCCTAATCTAATCTTTTTTCTACCCCCTGGTCTAATCCTAAGAGTTTATAAGGCTAAGTCTCTGGCCTCTGCTTAACTCCTGCTTCATCTCTCCCCATATGCTCCTGTCCCCTGCCCACTAAGTACCGTTTCAACTACACTGAATTTTCTCAAATTCAATAAAGCCCTGACACTTGGTCCCTCATATCTTCATCTATGTCTTTTCTCTTTTTTTAAATTTTCAGTGTTGAGGGTTCGTTTAATTCTATATGAGGAGGTTACCACTTCTGAGAGGCCTTCCCTGAATCTACAAGTCTGTGTTAGACACCCTTCTGAGTATTCCTGAAGCTTCTACACCTCCCTTACTATAGCACTCTCAGACCATATCATAACCGCCTTTTTACTATCAGTCTCTCCCATGAATTTGTAAGTTCTATGGTGTCAGGGACAGTGGCTTCCTTGTTCACCATTACAATCCCAGGAACTAGCACAATGCCTGGCCCTTAGTTATTGAACAAATAGGCTCAAGTCCTGGATATCAATCATCCACAGTATGCCTCTTTAGCTGGCCCCTGATCCTTGTAAAATAGACAGGTTGGAACTAACCATCCACCAAAAGGTAACATGCAACGTAAATTAAACCAAGATCCCAAAGGTCTTGGTCAAATACATTAGCAAAAGCCAAATGACAGCCAGGTGTGGTGGCACATGCCTGTAGCTCCAGCTACTTGTGGGGAGGATCACTTGAGCCCAGGAGTTGAGTCCAGCCTGGGCAATTTAGCAAGAGTCTATCGCTAAAATAAGCAAACAAATAAATAAATGTTTAAAGTCAAATGAAGATGTTTCTTTCTACTTCTTTAAGATGTGTATTTATCAGGATAATGGGCTATTCTGGCTCTATTCAACCATCCTGAACATAAAGCAGGTGCTCATGAGATGCCCATAAAGCAACTGTGACAGAACTTGAGAGTCTGGATCTCCCACCTCAAACTCTTACCACTTTATAAACTTCAGGTAAGTTTCTACAGACTTTGAGCATATGTTACCTTATCAGAAGAAGCTACAAAAAAAATACAATTTGTTTAGACTTTGGGGATATGTGGGAGAAAAAAAAATACAATCTGCATCAGCCCCCACCCCCTACCCTCCAAGGCCAAATACTCTGAAGGAAATCAAGCCAAACTTGACCATGCAACAGGATTCTCACCTCTTCTTACTTCGAAGATCCCAAGACCGGCAGCTGGGGATGCTGAAGGCTCTGTGAAAGCTGGAAAGCCCCAATGCTGTGGATAAATACACATCTCTGCAACAAGTCTATTTCAATACAAAGCATCAGATCCCCATGAAGGATACTACACCTCAAACTCTAAACTCAAACTTTGGGATAACAGCTACCTATGTGGAAAGACAGTGACCCCGCAGAGCTTTCAGAAGGTATTAGAGCTACATTTATAAGGATTTTCATGTTCTCTGGTCATATATTTTTCCTCCTACGGAAGTTCACCTCCTAGAAACACTAAAATTTACCATATCTGAGCTTGGACTGAGAAAGATAGTCACCAAGTGGTGCCTCTTTGGGTGATTTCAGAATCCTAGTCTAGACAAGGAGGAAGACACTGGTAAAGCTGACAGTCTTCAGAACTAAGGAACTAAGGCTGGGCCAGGATTAGGGGAGGAGTTGGTTGCCACAAATCCACAAGCCATACTGCAAATGGCCACATAGATGAGGAAACACTTTCAGGATACTTCCAAGCCTGCCTCAAGCTGTAAGTCAAGGTAACTAAATTCCAAGTGAAACATCAACACATACCTATCATGCTTTTCAACTAATTCATATTCTCAAAAGGACTAAAAGTTGCAGAGATGCCCCTGTTAGTAATATCTTTTCCATAAAGAAACACCTGGGGTTGGAACCAATATATTCCTGTCTACTATTCCACACATTTAAGCCTTTCTTCTACTCAGATCCCCTGGGAAAAGGCCACTCACCAATTTATCCCAACACAAAGAAAACACTTTCGAAATGAAAGGGAATAAAAGCACTTTTATTTGAAAATTTCAAGTTGGAAGAAGAGCTCTTAGCCAAACTCTATGACCTAGCTAGCTGATTATTTGCAGGATCTTTGGGCAGGAATTGTTAATGAGCTTTTAATTTGGAGTGCTTAAGTTGCCAAAGTGCTCTGAGCTCCAGTGAAGCACCACAGAATCCATAAAGGAAACCTTATCAATCACTTCCCGGCAGCTCCCTTCCCCCAACCCCCACCTCCTGAGGAAGGGCAGCCAAGTGGGTTTCTAACCAGGATCACAGACACACATTAGTGGAGTCACACTCCAAGTCCCTGTTTATAAATTGGCTTTTAAATGGTAGGAGATTCAGGTATAATAAACTTAAGCTCCACGCAAGAACCCACTAAAACAAGGCATGCTGTATCTGATAAAGTCAGAATAAAGCAGAATTTGATGAAGCCAATTTCTCGAAGAAACTCTATAATCAAAACTCATTTAGCCACTCACAACCTACTATGGTTTGAATAGTGTACAGTCTTTTAGCCAACAGGATTCATGTTTTGCTGCCCCTCCGCTGGACTGATGAAATGTCTGACAAGAGTAAATACCATTGAAGTGGCCAGAGACCTCTCGCAGACGCAATCAAGGGCACTATTCGTTGCAAAATCCAGCTCTAAAGACAAAATCCAAACCCCCATTGAAGAGCCCCACATCCAGCATCTTCCAAGTCAACAAGGAGCAGTTATATTTTGCAAGACCTCGAAGTCAAGCCTCAATCCAAGTTCATGCTTTTTTTTTTTTTTTTAAGAAAACACCTGTTGCTGGACCATTTGCAAGACAGGCAAACAGAAAGCTAGCCAGATTAGGCTCCTTCGTCACTCCTTTCACCGTCACTATTACCACCTGCAGATTTACACAGGTAAACTGCTAACCTGGTGTGTGTGCATGTGTTGAGGAGAGGGTCAAGGGAAATGTTCTATCTACAATCTCAAACCTTTTTCTTCTCTAGTAATCCCAGGTAAGAAGTCAACCCCCTTAATAAACTCACCCATCCTGTCTTGCAAAGCTCTGCCCCACTCCCCCTCCGCCAGAACGTTACTCAGTAGATTAAGCATACAGGGTGAGCACATGGGCCAGCACCCCAGGTTGCACAAACTCTGCGCACCGCGAAGCTCACCCCGCATGCATTAACCAAGGCCCAATCTTGGGGGAACCATTCAGCATCACCCACCCCGGGGTGTTGCCCCCAACTCGGGCCCATCCAAGTCCAGGGGAGGGTAAGGGGAGGGGCGGGGGGCCAGGAGACCAGCCCTCCTTCCCAGGGCCGCCCCCGCCCCCCGTCAGCAGCGGGAGAGACTGTCGCCATGGCAACGCCCCCTCCTCGGGGCCAGCGCGGCAGGCTCTCTCCAGGTGCAGGCCCCGACGTCTCCCTCAGCCTCAGCAGGCGCTCAGGGCAGTTGGCGGCGGCGGGCGCGGCCCGCGCCGACTGCGGCACCGGCCAGGCAGAGGCAGGGCCAGCTCCGCCCGCTCCCCACCGCCCGTTCCCGGCCGCCTCAACAACGGCAGCCAGCACCACGAGTCCACAACACACCGACTCACCTCCGCGCACTCTGACCCCGACCGACGCGGCGGACGGGCGGGCGCTGTGGCCAACCGCTGAGCTCGCTGCCGGCCCCTTTAACCAATGGGCTGCAGTGGGGCGGGGCTTCTTCTCCCCAAATGGTCGCTCTCCGGCCGACATGCGCGCTAAGCCATGTAAAGATGGTGACTCCCTGCGGCCGGCCTTATGGGACTTGTAGTTTTGACGTTGCACGAACTCAGAAGAGAAGGCGGGGGCGGGGGCATCACTTCTGAGCTGCGAAAGAAATTTTTTTAAAACGAAACTTTCTACGGCCTAGAGCGACTCAGGTCCCCCATCTCCGTTTTCCCGCCCTCTAGTAGGTGAATATGGGCTCACAAGGTGACAGATTCAATTTCATGACGCCTCATGAATCGTTCATTCAACAAGTAATTGTCGTCTACTCTCTGATGTGGGCCTGCGGGAGACCTGAGATAAGGAGGGGTTAAGCTAAGAGGAAAAAATGCTTAGATTCCTGAAGGGCCGTCCTAAGGAAGATGGAACTGGCTCGTTAGGGTCCACTCAGAGGAAACTTCTGTTTAAAAGGCTTGCCTCAGCTGTGAGGAGCTCAGTCTCTCCAGTAAGCTGGAGAGACCTGTGTTTCTTCATGCTTGTTATTCCTTTCTGGGTAGTCATGGGTCCCAGGCTATGAGCTGGAAAACCTCAGCCTTAGCCAAGCCAATGATGGCTTTGACAGCTTCCCAACCGATCAGGACCCAATCTTCTGGGCCCAGCTTCAGTTACCAAGCCCCTCTGTGTGCTGTCTGCATGTTTACACTTAAGACGATGTCACTGACCGGCCGCGGTGGCTCTTGCCTGTAATCCCAGCACTTTGGGGGGCCGAGGCGGGCGGATCACGAGGTCAAGAGATCGAGAGCATCCTGGCCAACATAGTGAAACTCCATCTCTGCTAAAAATACAAAACTTAGCCGGGCGTGGTGGTGCGCCTGTAGCCAGAGGCTTTACTGACCTTGGGATACGTCTGTCCTCAGAAGGCTGAGGCAGGAGAATCGATTGAACCCAGGAGGCAGAGGTTGCAATGAGCTAAGATCACACCACTGCACTCCAGCCTGGCAACAAAGCGAGACTCTGCCTCAAAAAAATAAAAGATGTCGTTTCTGGGCCTACCACCTCTGAGATCGGACCTTAACGTAACAATTCGCACCTAAGCTGGGAGTGCCTGGTAATCCCCATATCAGGGAATGCCTTCCTTAATCCCACCCATGTAATAGGTTAGGTGACTCTACTGTGCACCTACAGCATTTATCATACTGTTTTATAATTATCTGTTTCCTTGTTGTCACTCCCACAGGGTTGTAAGCCCTTTAGGAAAAGCATTTTTTCCATATTGCTCATGTTGTATCAGTAATACACAGCACAGTGCCAGGCATAAAGAAGGCCCGCAATAAATATCTGTGAACAAATGACGGAATAAACAGCAGCAGGGACAGACGTATCCCAAGGTCAGTAAAGTAGAGGCACTGTCCTCCAATTCTTGGAGCTGGAACAGATTCGCCTACTGTTACCTAGACATTAACCCCAGTTGGTCAGTCAGTCCACCTGTATTTATAATGCCTCTCAAGTGTCAGGCACAATTTCTGTTGCTGAGGATTCATTGATGGATAAAAACACACAAAACCTGTATTCTCAAGGAGCCTTTAAATTGGAGAGGGAAGTTGGGTGCCATGGCTCATGTCTGTAATCCTAACACTTTGGGAGGCTCAGCCTGGAGGATCCTTTGAGACCAGGAGTTCAAGGCCAGCTTGGGCAACATAATGAGATTCCCATCTCTACAGAAAAATTTAAAATTAGCCGGGCATCGTGGCACGTGCTTATAGTCCTAGTTACTCAGGAGGCTGAGGTGGGAGGATCACTGGAGCCCAGGAGGACAAGGCTGCAGTGAGCCATAATAAATAAATTGGAGAGGGGCTGCAGGAGGAAGAATAGATAATAAACAAGTACATAAATATAAAAATAAGACAAATAAGAGGCAATGAGATAGCTTGCTTATATACTGAGTTATGGCCTGAGAGTAGGGCACAGCCAACCTTGGCCGTAAGAATGAAGTAAATCTATAGTATCTAGATTCAAGGCTTTATTTAATGCCCAGCCCCAACATCCTCTGTGGAGCCTTCCATGGTCCCCTTCACTCCCCTAGAATGTGCTCTTTCCTCCTTAGTGCTCTGGGGCTCAACTGTACAGCTTCCAGGACTTCACCATACTGTAGGCTCTTTCTGTACAAAGATCAGGCAAATGCATCCACATAATAGAACAGTTTAACAGCTCAGTATACACTTGGTGCCTTACACTGCCGCCTGAGCCAGCACTTGGCTTTCCCAAGCCGTGGCTCTGTTGTGTGCTGTCTGGTTCCCTAGAAAACAGAGCCTGGGCTGGGCACAGTGGCTCATGCCTGTAATCCCAACACTTTGGCAGGCCAAGGTGGAAGAATTGCTTGAGCCTGGGGGTTCATGACCAGACTGCTCAACATAGCAAGATCTCATCTCTGTAAAAGAAGAAAACAGAGCTGAGCTAAAACTTATGTGCTCAAATTTAACTGGGGAGTATAATCCCAAGGCATCAAGAGTGAGGGGAGCCAGGCGTGGTGACGCATGTAGTAGTCCCAGCTACTCAGGAGGCAAGAGGCTGAGGCAGAAGGATCGCTTAGAGTCAGGAGTTCAAGACTGGCCTGGGCACATGGCAAGACACCATGTCTTAAATAAATAAGTAAATAAAAGAGTACGGGGAAGGGGAAAGTGCGGCAGGGAAGGAGGGAAAGAAAGTATAAATAGTGTCTTACTGAGAAGCTTTCCAGCGCCTCAAAGAAAATACAGCTGGTTGCTCTGTTGTACAGGATGTATAGAACCATCCTGTCTGACAGGAAGGGTTGTGTTACCCCACCACTGCAATAGCCACAGGGGGCACCAGATTCCACACCCTGAAGCACATTCATTTGAGACTAGAAACGGTGAGAGGAATGAAAGCCTCTGTTGGGTCAGATTAGGTCCACTGCAGTCCCACCACAGTGGGCACATTGGAGCCTGTGTCAAAACCTAACCCTCCTCCCAGGGGAAACAAAGATAACCAGAGGTGTTAGTAAATGAGGTGGGAGTGGCAGTTGGGCTGTTCAGCAAACGAGTGGCCAATGGCCAGAGTTGGGGTTGCAGACGAGGCAAGGGCAAGTGAATTTGTGGAGGCTGATGAACTGAGTCCAACACACAGACACACAGACACCTTGGCTGCTGGATTAAGTGACTGAACGACAGTGAACACTGGGAGCAAGAACAACAGAGAGGACCAAGTTAGGTCTTCTTATTCCCCAGCAAACCACCAGGAAACACAGCAAGGTGGCCATCAAAGCTAGAAAATCAGCTGCCAAAGCGCAGAGAATGCAGGACCCAAGGATAATGCATGGCAGCCCCCAAACCTTGGCACAGCTGAGAGAACCCAGACTGGGTCTGAAACCATTTTATGTGGCAACTGGAAAAACTGCCACTGCCATCGTAATCCCTATGAGCTATATAAAACAGCATAGGACGGTGGGCTCAGTCCTGGCTCCATCTGTGACCTTAGGCAAGTCACATACCTCTCTGAAGTTCAGTTTCTTCGTCTCTAGAATGTAGATAATACTAGTATCTACCTGTCATTGAAATTAAAAACCCAACTGCTTAGCACTGCCTAGAATAAAGAGTTCAGTAAGTAGTGGCTATGACAATTATTCTCATCATTCCCCTACCCCTCTTTCTTGCCCCTCTTCCCACCATGACCACCACCACCTCCCCTCCTCTTCTCCCTAACCCTACCCCCCAGCAGTCTTCTGCTGCTCCGGGAGGAATCTGGCCATGCTGCCTTCTTCCTGCTTTTCCCCAGGGCTGTTCCCCAAGAGGCTGAGCCATTCATCTCCCTGGTGACCTGAATCTGAACTAAGAGATGGATGTGGGGTGGCTGAGGCCAGGGTGGTAATGTGCTCCCTTATCTCCGTGCCCCTCACTAGGGCCTAGTTAATTTTCCCTTTGATTTTAATATAGATTTATTGAAAGTTTCAGTTATCAAAACAAACTGCAGCAGCAAATTGGTGTTCTTTGCAGGCCTACAAGTGCCTATAAAGCTGCCATGCTCGGGAACGAATGGCGCTCTCCGGGAGGTCAGTCATGGCAACAGGAAGTCCCTGGGGACACACACACTGCAGTTTAATATTTTTCTTATTAGCCTTTTTCTTCTTGGCTATCTAAGCCTCCCCTTTAAATCGGAAATCAAATGGAGCCACCTGCCCAGGGAGGTTCTCTTCCTTAGGCTGTACCACTCTCTGCCTATGCTGTCCCCTCTCTAGTCCCAGGGCCTTTATTTCAAATCCTGTGACTCCACCCTGATTTGCCTTAGGCCCAGAGAGAGTCATGATTCACCTCCCCCAGAGGTGTGGTTCACAAATGTGAATTCCACACCTTTGTCCCAGCTGTACAAAGTCTGCTCGGGCTCTCCAACCACTAGTCAGATGCAAAGCAGCCCTAGAAAAGATTGGGGCCCCAGACTTCTTCCATATCTGGTGCTCAGAAGGGAGGAAAAAGCAGTTTGAAACCAAAGGAGTTGCTTTCAAAGAGGCAGACGGTCCTGTCGGGATGTCTTGAACTAAACAGAAGTAAAAAGAAGACGGTGATCCTAGAGAGTGGGCAAGCTCTCTTTACAGCCCAAGATTTTTTCGATATTATTCTCATAGCCCCAGTGCTACTCCCAATACTCCCCACCACAGCTTGACTTTTGAGGCTCCTCTCTCTGGCCCCAATTTGCCTCTCTAAGGACCAGCCAGCACTATCTAGTGCTCCAGGGACTCCTGTAGCTCACTGCCACTTCTAGGCTCTGGAATCAATCCTGTCCCAGCAGAGAGTCTCCATGCCTAGACCTAGGCTGGACTGCAGAAGCACAATCATGGCCCATTCCCAAGCTCAACTCCCAGGCTCGAGGGATCCTCCCACCTCAGCCTCCCAAATAACTAGGACTATGGGTTTGTGCAACTTCACCCAGCTACTTTTTGTTTGTTTGTTTGTTTTTGTAGAGATGGGGTTTTACCATGTTGCCCAGACTGGGCTCGAACTCCTAGACTCAAGTGACCCTCCTGCCTCAGCCTCCCAAAATGCTGGGATTATAGGCATGAGCCACCATGCGTGACCCACATCCGGTAATCTTGAAGGCATCATCATCCTTTCTAGGCCTTATGTGTAGCTGTGTCACCTATATGAGTCACATCCCAATTCCCAATGTCCTCTCCTCATTCTTAAAAATTCCCTGCTAGGACAGGCATGGTGGCTCACACCTGTAATCCCAGCACTTTGGAAGGCGGAGGCGGGTGGATCACGAGGTCAGGAATTCAAGACCAGCTTGGCCAACATAGTGAAACCCCGTCTCTACTAAAAATACAAAAATTAGCCAAGTGTATTCCCAGCACATGCCTATAGTCCCAGCTACTCAGAAGGCTGAGGCAGGAGAATAGCTTGAATCCAGGAGGCAGAGATTGCAGTGAGCTGAGATCACACCATTGCACTCCAGCCTGGGCAACAGAGCAAGACTCTATCTCAAAAAAAAAAAAAGAAAAAGAAAAAAATTCCTGCTAGCAGCAAAGGCTACTGCTGCCCTTCCTCAGAACTCAGAGGTCTGGACAACTACAGCTGTGCAGCCAGCGTGGTGGAAGATGTTGAGGTTTGGATCCAGACAGTCCAGGATTTGAATTCTGGCTCTGACACTTACTGACTCTGTGGCTTGGGAAAATTCTTTCTGGTTTTATTTCACCTTCTGCTTACATCTACTCTTGTCTAGGGAACACAGTAATAAAGTGGTTTGCCTCTGTTTCTCTCTCCTACAACATTCTGAGATCCTCAAGGAACAGGACTGTGTCTTATCTTCATATTCCATGTGCATGTAGTTGATGAATAACTGAAGGCAGCTTCTCTGAGCCTGTTTCCTCAACTATAAAATGGAAAGAGTAGCTATATCACCAATATAGTGAAGAAAGCGCCCAGCCAGCATAAGATAGGTATTTGGTGAGTAAAGTTTCCTTCATCAATTTTCCTTTGAGTTTGGTCATCAATCACGAACACTCCTACTTTCACCTGTTCCCACCTCAGCTTCAAGTTCAGCTCTCTTTTGTCTGCTAGGGCTTTCCCATCACTGATCAGACACCAGCATTCACCCTGGCCCCTGTGGAGTGGTGCTGACTTCTTTCCTCCAGGCCAGGCTCCCCTCATCTTTCCAAACCCACTCAGAAACTGCTGCCTCCTGGTGGCTCTGTTTCTAGTTAAAAGTCCATTTCCGTAGACTGCCTTGTAGTTCATCTGTAGTAATGCAGATATTCTCAAGCCAATAATGTATCCTGGCTCATAGTACAAATATGTTCACATTTACATTGATATACCAGTCTTCCTAATTCTAGGCTCCCACCTATTCCTATAAAAATACCAATCCCAGCTAGGTGCGGTGGCTCACACCTGTAATCCCAGCACTTTGGGAGGCCAAGATGTGTGGATCACCTGAGGTCAGGAGTTCAAGACCAGCCTGGCCAACATGGTGAAAACCTGTCTCTACTAAAAATATAAAAATTAGCTGGGTGTGGTGGTGGGTGCCTGTAACCCCAGCTACTTGGGAGGCTGAGGCAGGCAATCATTTGAACCCAGGAGGCAGAGGTTGCAGTGAGCCAAGACAGCACCTTTGCAGTCCAGCCTGGGCAACAAAAGTGAAACTCCATCTATATATACACACACACACACTTATATACATATATACGTGTGTGTGTGTGTGTGTATACACGTGTATATATGTATATAAATACCAATCCCTAGCTAATTTATATGGGGGCTGAAAAACCTCTCAGAGAAAAACAAGTAAATATGAACCAAGCCCATAATGGGATCAGGTATATACCAGCACAATTAGAGTAAGGGTGTGTGGTTAAACCACAGGACAACAAATTGCTGGAAGGACAGCAGAGTTCCAGTGAGTGACTTCATAGGAGCTATGAAGCTCCTCCTTCCTGGTCCTGATTTGGCAGTCAGATCCTCTATCCTAAGGCTCCAACCTCTGCTGCTAGCCTTATTTTCTAGTCATTCTTTTAACTCCTCTTCTCTTCCAGGCCCAAGGGACAAATTCCTACCCGTCAGGGTGCTTTGCACTTTTCAGCCTCCAAGCATTCGTTGGCCGTTATTCTTTCAATGGGAAGGCCTACCCCATTCCTATCTCCATCTGTTGAACTCCTGGAAAATGATGCCCTGCTCCAAGGAGCATTTTCTTAGTGGCTGCTCTTTCCCATCTTCTGAGTGTCCCAAGCCCTTCCTGCATCTCCTGCCCTGAAGAGCACTCTTTAATCCACAGGGCAGGGGCTTGCTGAGCAATCTTAGTGTCTAACCAGTGTCTGACCACAGCCCTAAGACTTGAGAGTTCTAGAGGGCCTTAAGGAAGGCATCTGAAGCCTTCAGAGCATCTCTTCTAGCAATCCCAGCACAGTCCTAAGAGCTTGAACCCATACTTTTCCAAGTGTATACTTTTTCAATTCAACAAACATTCTTTGAATACCTATTTGGTGCTATGTTCCATGAAAAAGCACAGGACAGGAATATGAACAACAGACACAGTCCCTGCCCTCATAGAGCTTACATTCTAATTAAGGAGACATACTGGTAAAGAAATAATTATCAGAGTGATAACTGTGATTATAGAGATGCACTTACAATAAGGGTTTAAAGATGAGGCATCCCTTACAGCCTGGAAAGCCCTCCCAGAACAAATGACATTTAAGTCTAAATCTTAAAGGTCGAGTAGGAATTTCTTAGACCAAGAAGGCGAGAAGGGATTGAAGAGGGGAGAGCATTCCAGGTGAAGAGAATAACATGAGCAAAGGCACTAAGCAAAGAAATGGCCCATGTGAAGATGGAAAGAAACTTAGTAGGACTGAAACAGAATGTGTGCAAGGGGAGTGATGAAAGAGGAGTTTGAAGACATAGGCAAGAGTTAGATCCTGCATAGTCTGATGAGCATTCTTAAGGTGTTTGGACTTGATCTTGAGGGTAATAGAGAGCCACTATTGGGGCTTCTGTGTTAGAGCAGGGCTTCATGAACTTTAATGTGCATTCCAATCACCTGGGGATCTTGTTAAAATGTAAATTGTGATTATGTGGGTCTGGAAAAGGCCTCGACTCTGCATTTCTAAAAAGTTTCCTGGGGAGGCTTGCGATGTGGCTCTTCAGACCACACCTTGAGTAGCCAGGTTTTAGTAGCGCCGCCTCTCTGGCCTCCCTTCCCCACCTTCCCCATGTACACTCACATCAGCAGGCACAGAGCATTTTTCTTTCTGCTGAGTCTGGTTTAAGACTACTGTGACTCTTGCTTTTTTTTTTTTTTTTTTTTTTTTTAGCATCTATATTTTAGGAGGCGTTTATTGAATATTTGTTCCATATCCAGCAAGGTATCAGGTAAAGGGTGGGGCTGGGGGTCTGGGGGGAAGATAAAAAGCAAGACATTTTCCTGCCCAAAAGTGTTTGGTGTCATCTCTTTTCCTGAGCTGCCCTCTGCCAGACCTGTCATAAACATGCTAAATGAGGCCTGTCTCAGCGGTGCTCCCTGGGGTCCCACCGCTTCTGCAGCCCCATCCAGAGATGAGCCTGTTTATCCCTAACTGTTGTCTCTGACCTCTAAATCAATTCTCTATCTGATACAAAACCTCAGTCCTCCCCTACCCTCCTCCTGATTCCAGACTAGGTCAATTTGTAACACCAGAGGCAGTAAACGATGACAGTGGTTACGCGTACAGGCTCTGAAATCAGACTGCCTGGGTTCATAGCCCAACTCCATTACTTATTAGCTGAGTGAACTTGGGCAAGTAGCTTAACTTCTCTAAGCTTCAGTCTTCTCATCTGTAAATTGGGGACAGTACTTTGGCCTTTGGGGCTGTGGTGATGATCAGATACAACAATGCATATAAAGCACAGCCTTTGAAACATGCAGAAAACATCCAATCACTGTTATCTGTTGTTTTCATAGATACGAAAAACTGTGTTTGTGTAAGCTCATTAAAGCTCTTTGAAAGCCTGTATATGTAAAAGTCACTGTTGTCCCGTATACACCTATGGCTTTTCGTATTTGCATCATCGCCTCCCTGATGCTGGGGAGACAGAACACAGCCGGAGGTGTTTAACCCAGAAGAGCCCTGCTGGATGAGGCAGCCTTCAGAAGGCTCTTAAGGAACAAGAGGTTTCAGCTCCCAAAGCTGAGGCTCAGTGTTGGAGGGGGCATGCTTTGCAGATCCCTTCCCACCTCAACCCCATCCCCATAGTGTCCCCTCGGTCCAGGGTCACCCAGGCTGCCCTCCTTCCAGCTGCAGTGAGAGGCAGCTTCAATCATTCATCTTAATGTGTCTATTAAGCAGGGTTATGACCAGGACGAGACAAGAAACAAGGTCTTTTAGTGTAAAAACACAGCTCCAGGGCTTGGTCCCAGGGGACTCTTCCTTGGCACTGCTGCTGCTCCTGGGCTGCTGCTGCTGGGGGGGCCACTGAGGTTCCAGATTGGGTGGGAAGATTCTGCTGTGAGTACTCTCTCCTCTCTCTTCCTTTGAACCTCCTAAAGGCCTGCCTTTTCCATTTCCAACAAGAGGAGCAATGACTTGGCATTTGGAGGCAGCCATGAGGGCCTCCAGGCTGTCTTTGTGTTAGGCCTGTATCCTGACTAGGGATCACTGTCTTCATCATCTTCTCACCACTCACCAGCCATGTGGAGGTAGCTGCAGCCTTAGCCACTGGGCCCTGGACAAAATAGGCCCTCATCTGGAGTCTGGGCTCAGAGCCTAGAGATAATAAGAGTATTTCTGATTATAGAAAGAGCCAAGGAGGAATCCTAACAAGACCACACCATCAGCTCTTGTCACTCATATTAGAGAAGGTTTAGGAACCATCAGTGGAGTAAGCATGTGGTCAGACCCAGACCTGGGCTCTAGGGCAGTAGCTGTCAGCTCAAGGAGTCCAGTGTTCCCGACTTGCATGTACACCCACACAACAGCAGCAGGTCAGCCCACTCACCAGGAGAAATGGGCTGAGGCTCCTGGAGAACCAGAATTAAAAGGCAACTATCGAGAACCCATTTGGAAGGACTCAGTGGGAGCTGTGTGTACAGGCTTGCCCTTCAGAGGCCTGCAGAGGGTTCCCAGATAACTGCTCCCAAGCGTTGGTAACGTCGCCATTAAAACATGAATCCTAGCGGCTGGGCATGGTGGCTTGCGCCTGTAATCCCAACACTTTGGGAGGCCTAGGCAGGCAGGTCACATGGTCAGGAGTTTGAGACCAGCTTGACCAACATGGTGAAACCCCGTCTCTACTAAAAATACAAAAATTAGCTGGGCGTGGCGGTGGGCACCTGTAATTCCAGCTACTTGGGAGGCTGAGGCAGGGAATTGCTTGAACCTGGGAGGTGGAGGTGGCAGTCAGCCAAGATTGCGCCACTGCACTTCAGCCTGGGTGACAGAGCGAGACACCATCTCAAAAACAAAAACTAAACTAAACTAAAAAGAGACCTTTAAATGGCCTGGGAGGATAAGAATGTAGAACCCACAGAAGTAAAGGTACAAAAGGGAGAGACAAGTCACCCAACACAGTTTGCTGACTTCAGTCCTGCTAATCCTCAGGTCACCAACTGCTGTTTCCCACAGTGCTGCTGCTGTCTCACTGGTCCTCGTTTCTCTTTCTGTATCAAGAGTTATCCTAACCATAACCTCTTTCCTGAGGTGGGCCGACATAGAGGTAAACTTCAAGTCAGGGAGCCAGGCAAACCTGGGCTCACATTGTGATTCTTCTTCTTCTGAGCAAAGTGACCCTGGGCAAGTCATTGCTGCTCCCTGAGCTTCTGTTTCCCCTTTTGTTTCCTAAGGTCTTGAATGAATGAGACTGTACATGTTCAGCTTAGTGTAGGACCTGGAGCTCAGTGGGAGGAAGTAAGGGGTGGAGGAGAGAACTGGGAGTCTCGGTCGACTCTGTGCGTAG